AACTGTCCACTGTTTGCAGTCGTGGTAGAGTAATGTTGCCCACCAGTGACTGAAAACCATGGATTGGAGAAGAATGACAGAATTCAGTGACCTTGTGGGGCCATAACAGAGAAATGACAGCAGTGTAGTGGATCAAATAAAGAGTGATGATGTTATATTTGTGACTGTAGCAGGACCAAGGCTCAAAAGGTTGCAGGCGTTGTTAATTGAGCAGAAGATGGACGGCATCAAGCCCTCTCCTCGACAGCTACAGGATCACAGTCTGCAGGTTCAGTTATGCAACGTTTTAGCATCGATGCGTGAAGTTAAGAGCAGACAGGGAGGTTATTTTTGCACTGGGCTGGAATGACTCAGTTTACCTGTCAAAGGCTATCACGGCTGGGAGAAAACCCTCAGCATTAGTAAAGAAGGACCACGGTGGCCTCTGGGTAGAAACACTGCAGAGTTCATGTGGATACGCTGCTGCATTAGGTCAGATAGAAATATCATAAAGCATCATTAAGTAAAAACGTTTATTAAGAACAAATGTTTAAATATTGTTAACGTGTTTCCCAGAAACATCTGTAGAGACAAAGAGCTTTCTGTTGTTGCTTCGAGGAAACAAGCTCTTCTTTTTAGTTTTGTCCTGGTATTTATTCCAGGACGGACTCATCCACTGAGCAGTGTTTGGGTTTCTTCCTTTTCCTCGTTCTGGATGCAAACTATTACAACTCGGGCTTTATTTCAGTGACAATGGCCTTAAGCTGCAATACAACAGGAAGTTACTCATATATAGTAATTTCCCAGACCATATTAAAAATCCATTAACAGGAAATACAAATGATGGGACAATGCCACAGCATGGACATTAGAACAGTTGGGAAAATTTACCTGGAAAAAGGTGAAAATGAGGCTTCATTGAACTGGAATTACAAAGACCAGGAATGTGAGATCCACCAGCCACAACTGAGGGTTTTTACACATCATATCCTCAAAGTAGAACTACAGTGATCAAAAGAATCGACTTTAATGTTATTCTTTCTTTATTTATGTCAGATTTAACCCCCCAAAAAGCTTTAATCTTTAACTAGTCTTTGGACGTAGCTACAGTACGGTCAGGTTGACAGTTTATGGGTAACATGTGGCCACCAGGCACTGCGACACACTTCCATGTTATATTACCTTGGCGTCCCGTAGGAATACAGGAGAATCATGTGAGGAATCTAAGAGTTGTTTCTTAATTCAATTCAGTTTTATTTACACAGCACCAAATCACAACAGCAGTCGTCTCAAGGTGCTTTATACTGTAAGGTAGCTCGTACAATAATACATACAGAGAAAAACCCAACAGTCATATGACCCCCTATGAGCAGCACTTTGGCGACAGTGGGAAGGAAAAACTCCCTTTTAACAGGAAGAAACCTCCAGCAGAACCAGGCTCAGGGAGGGGCGGGGCCATCTGCTGTGATTGGTTGGGGTGAGAGAAGGAAGACAGGATAAAGACATGCTGTGGAAGAGAGACAGATGAACCGCTGAGTGTTGTCCCGTCGAGGTGGCTCTTCTATGTTGTGCATTTATGGCACCAAACCACAAATGCAAAGGAAGAAAGGGTCGAGGCACAGCACCCAGCTGCCTGACAATATTCAGGCAACGTCCAAAGCCCCACAAAGGACCTACCCACACCCCACTGGCCCCGCCCAGATCAAGGAGCTGTCACAGCAGACAAAAATGTGAAGTCCGCACATAGTCGCCATGGCACCCACCAACCCACCACACCATCCCCCATGGAGCTACCAGGAGAGGCATACTGGCCCACTGAGGATCACAGAGGAGCAGACCCAGGGGGCTGACAGCACAGCCCCCACCCACCAGTCGTGCAGCTTATTTTATCTTGTCAGCGTGAGCCCCACCTAAAGGGGACAGAGGGATTAGTGAGTTGCATTAGTGGGGCAGGAGAGAGTGAAGCAGGGGAGCCAATGTCACTGCGATACGACTCCTCAACACCATCCAGCCTGCCCCACCACTCATAATGAGTCCTGCTGTGCTCTGTAGCAATGATGCATTTTATGTGTGTGTGCCAGGTTAGTGCTGTGGATTCAAAGGAGCACAGTTCCACTAAACAGGAGATCAGGATAAACCCCAGTAACCAACCCTGCCCCCGCCAACACATATTCTCAATCCCAGCAGAGGCCAGCCCCACAATGACATGCCACACGTGATACACAGCCAACATTACTGTTATAATTACATGTTTCCTTTATTACTTTCCTTTCAACCTATTGATTTTGCACCTTAAACTTTCTTTGGTTGCTACAAGCCACAAAGTCCTTTATGGTTTGTCTCTGTTGTGTGGAGGGCTGTTTTTAAGAGCTCAAAAATGGGTGTATCAGAGTCAAACAGGCAGCACAGTGGAAAAGTGGTTGGCACTGTTTCCTGACAGCAAGAAGGTTCTGGGTTCAAATCCAACATCTAAGCTGTTTGCATGCTCTCCCCATGTCTGGGTCCTCTCTGGGTTCTCTGGCTCCCACAGTCCAAAGACGAGTAGTTAGTGGGGTTAGGTTGATTGGTGTATGTGCCCATGAGTATGAGTGTACACGGGTGTTTCTCTGTGTTAGTGACAGTCTGACAGAAGGCTGCATCCCTCAGCCTCATGTGGGCTGTGTAGCCCCTTTACAACTGCAGTGAGAGCTCAGACCTGTTTCTGGTGGGTGGTGGACTCCTCCAGGGCTTCCCCTGATTCCCCTTCTGCCACAGAAGACTGTGGCCTCAGAAACTCATATCTGCTTTTTGCAAATGAAGCGAACCTGTTGGCTTCATCAGCAGGGGCGGATCTAGAAGGGTGGCATGGGGTGGCAAGTGCCACCCTAAAATGATCCCTTGCCACCCCAAGTGCCACCCCAGTTTTGCATATGACAGTGTTGTTTATTAAAATAAGTTTAACAGTTTGAGCGTAGTTACAGTCAGCAGTGAATATAAATGCTAGAACTGGATATATTCCATAGTGTCCCCCCCCCCCCCCCCCCTCCACATTAACAAATGGTTCAGCCCATAGCAGGACGGCTTTCTTCTTGTTTCCAGCAGCAAGCGATGCTTATGATTGTGCCAGAGCACATTTTGAACAACACCATGGGAATTTCTGATTTTACACAGGTGGGTGGATGTTACACTGTGGAAATGAAGGAAGGTGAGTGCTATTTTAAATGGTTGTAGAAAATGAAAAAACAGCAGGTGTATTGGCTGCATTTTTAGATAAATAGTTGTATCTGTTTACAAAATGTACAATTTATATTCGCATTTCAAGTTATAAACATTTACCCAACACGTCTGTGGTTTTTTTACAGTAAAAAATACTGCTAGGATTTTAGGTTCTTTGTGTGATTTCAGATCAGTAATAGTTACATTAATAGTAATAGTAATACTAATGCAGTATGTCAGTGAAAAAACAACTAAATTCAGTTGAGCTGAAAAGATACCAAACAAAGCAAGAGGAGGAAAAAATAAAATGAAACAATCTGAGGGTGAAATACAAACGTAAACTCAAAGGAGTCACAAATGTCCGGTTGTATTTCAGACCTCAGAGGGTGAATCCAACAAATCATGAAAAATGAGGTTTACATGTTTGTTCATGACAGTGCAGATTTCTGACATTTTGTGTCATTTAAGCTGCAACAATGTGACTGTTTTCTAACAAAAACAGTGAAACTTAAGTTAGACTTGTGTTTGTAAATGAAGCGCCCCATGTTGTGTAGCTTTCTGGAGTTTATACTTATTGGGCTACATATGTATTTAATATACAGGCTGTACAGTACATAACATCAAAACTCACATGTTTCATGTAACTAAAGTGTGTAATCATGTGGGTACAGACAATAATTAAGTTATAGACTATATTTATATGAAAAACGTGCATACTTACTGCATTTGAATCATTTTAACCACATGTAACCACCTGCATATGTGTTTGGGGGGAAAAGGCTTTTTATTTTGCCACCCTAAGAAAATTTCTCTAGAGCCGCCCCTGACCATTTCACAGGATTTGCATTTAAAGATGCAACAAGACTAAAATGGTTAGGGTCAGGAGGTCAAAGGTCAGAGCTCCTGTGGGTCTGAGGGCGGCCTCACGCTGGAGAAGGATGAAGGAGTCTGACCTGAGCCAGTGTTTGACATGAACACATCAGCACTGCTGTCAGTGAGCCTAACGACAGCCGTTAGCATCATTTCAGTGTTTCAGTCATAAAAACACTTCCTGTCACTGTGGTGGTTACAGTGACATCATGCAGTTTGTGCTTTGACCTCCAGAGGGCGACAAATCAGCACAGACAGAGAGCTCCATTCAAACTTTGCTGCCATCAGGAATAATTCTTCAAATATAATCATCAGTGTTTGAGCAGTTATGATATCAGGGACAATCTAGACATGTGTGACAATACTGAACATGTCACATGACACACCTCAAACATCATGTGATCCACTCTCAGTCTGCACTTTCATTCATGACTTCAACAGGTTGAAATGAGCTTTGAAGAAACATTCAGTGAAATAAATCTTTCATGGATTCATGTGAGCAGCAGATGAACTTTGTACCAACAACATCTTCAATAACAGAGTCTGAATGAAGCTCAGGTGTTGATGCTGCTCCCTGATTGGACGCTTGGTTTCAGCTCTGCTCTCAGTCTTTACTGCACAGGTGAAGGTAGAAAGTGTGACTGGATCTATAGACTGGAAACAGAGAAACATGCTGAACATTTGAAGCTTTGCAGCAGAAATGTTCATGTTACAAATACAGCAGAGCTGATCTGGGATCAGTGTGTTCACACCTGCAGCTACAACAAGGTTTCATGTCTCCACACGTCAGCATGTGAACTTTACTCTGACTCAGTCTGAGCAGTCAGACGGCATATTTTTAAAGTTAACACATCAGCACACACAGAGCTGAGCCCCTCCCACCTGTGCTGAGTTTCAGGTGGAGCCCCGCCTCCTTCCAGGAAGCAGCTCACCTGTGTGTCCGTGTTTAGTGTCCAGGTGTGGAGTGGAGCTTGTTGTTGGTGTGAAGAAACTGTAAGTTTGCTTTGTTTCCTCCTTTAACAGTTAGGAACTTTACTGTTTGTTCAGCTCGTGTTTGATTTCTTCACACAACAAACTGTGTGCGTTTGTATTAAAGTCAGTGTGTAATGTTTCCTGGCTAACATCAGCTGTGCAGCTTAGTTCCGGCACAAATCTGCCGCTCCATAGTTACTTACTTACTTTATTTATTTATTTATATAGCATTCTTCACAGGATAAAAACTGCAAAGTGCTTCACAATAATATAAAACAAATATACATAAAAAAGGACAACCCAACATTCAGCACAAATATAGTTAAAAACCAATTTAAATAGAAGAGTCTTAAACTGCTTTTTAAAATAATTTTTTGTTCACAGTAAAAGACTCACAGGTGGACCAATGAGGCTGACTGTTATTTTCTGTTAGTGTGATCAGAATCTGGGAATCAGACTAAATATGTCCTGAGCTTGGCTGCCGTTTCACAGACACAGAGTGGACTTTGTAAAATTGTCTATAAGTATGTTAGACAAAGGCTTCACATGTCAGCCACTGATTAAAAATACTGAGCCACCAATTGTTGGCTCTACTCCAAAACAAGAGATGTTACAGAACACACAGATGTCAGGACATGAGTTATTACAGTTCACTAAAACTACATGTGGAAAAAACAGTTTTAATAAACTAAAATCATTAATGCTTAATTAATAAAAACATGACCTTCAATGAGAATTAAAACTTAATGAAATTATTTTGTGAACTTGGGAAACAACTAAAATACAGTTATAGAGGAAATATCCAAAGTTTTAGTTCTTGTTAGTTTGGTTAAAAAAAACCCCAAACAAACAAACTTGCTTTAGGAGGCTTTGATACATACAGAGTTATTTAGACTTTTGATGTAGCCAAGAATAAGAGCACTGCTTTCAAAAGGTACTGCTAAACTAATACTGAAAAAAAAATAAAAAATCAAAATTAGAAAATGCTATAGATTTATGTTTGGGTGGGGTTTTTCTCACCTCAGAAACCTTCATATGTAGATCTTGACAAGTGGACTGGAAGGGAGTGATAGTAGAGTTCACTGTTAATGGATAAATTTCAAAGATGAGAAATATGATTTATTTCTGATCTCTGAACAGCACAGACAGGCTGAAGTGACACTTTTCATTATTTCAAACACTCGGTTTCACTTCTGCTCTTTGTGTGTTAGATCTGCAGGATTGAACAACACAATCAAGACTGGGCCACAGACTTGTTGTACCACATACTTTGTTCACTGCATCCATTGACAACAGAGCTCACTGACAGCAAACTGTGAATACAATGCCTCTGCTGAACAATAAACTTGGAATTTTTAAAGTGTTCTTTAAACTAGACGTAGCAAGTTGGCCTCTGTTAAAAATCTTGTGTCACAAACTGTTGGCTCTGCTCCAACAGACTGTCCACACCAAAACAAACATGAGAGTTGGTAAAACACGTTTTACATTTCTCAGACTGACTGGATTAGATTGGAGACACATTATTATAGTATTATAGTATAATAAGTATAAAGTATATTAAGTTTTAAAAATCGCTTTACTGTCTGAAATTATATGAATTGAACTGAACTGAAATTGCAGCTTGTTATGGAAATTTAATTAATAAAGCCTACAGATACAGATGCGCAGTAAGCCAACACCTTTTAATAAACACAAGCATCCTTGGGAGAGAGCTGCGATCGCGGGGCACTGACCAGTATTCTCTCCCCTGATCTCAGCTCTGGTTTTAAATACAGTCAGATAACGTATTGCACAGCTGTTGTGTATACCTTTGACCCTTACCAGAAGGGGGACGATTTTTACCACCTTATCTCCTCTTACAGGGTCTCCCCCATCTTCAGAGACAAACAAAAGTCTATCAACACCTGTGGACTTTTCCCCCACACTGCAATAAAGTGCCGCCACTTCCCAAGATAACATAACTCTCTTACTGTGTGCAAAAAAGTGTGAAACAGACATTCTAAAGCCAGTGACATAAAAGCACTGTTACTAAAACAATGTGACTACATTGATGAAAGAAAATCCCATACAGGCTCTAAAATCTTTTACATGTTCAGTTCAGGCTGTACAAACTGCACTTAAGGAAAACTGAGTTACAGTTGAATGCATAAAGGTCAAACTGTACTTTCATGTTGTTTCATGTGTGTCCATGTTGTTGCTAACAGTTTGATCAGTGTTTCCACAGTAAGCTATAAATAGTTCTACAGCAGCTCTGAGAACTTATATCAGCAGGTCTCCATGAAGGCCTGTTGAACTGTTGATGGGTCTCAATAAAGTCTGTTTGAAAAGACAAAGACTACACGTCATCAGCAATTCACATAAAACTTGCAGAAAGTCAATTTCTGTAGTACTTTCACCAACAGTGATGGCTGGTCTCCAGAGTTTAAAAACAGTTTTGATCACTTTAAATGAAAGCCACAAAAGGAGGTTCTTGTACCTTCTATAACTTTTCATGGCTAAAAGTAATTACTTAAACTTTATTTGGCCTGAGCTCAGCCTCTAGCTAGGGTTACTCTTCCCTCTCCATTGCTCTCTCTCTCTCCTCCCTCTCTGCTGTTCAGGTTGTGTTGAGTGGAAACACACCTGCGCTCTAATAGCATTACATAATTAGGGTGGAGCCTTTAGTTATCAAATTCAAGGTAAAGGCATTAAAGAAGTTAAAGAACTATTTGTTGCAAAGCAGATCAAATGAGAAACATGCACAACATTATTTCAGTCTCTTAATCACAGGCAGTCTACCAAATCATCAAGCAGTGAGTGTAGAATAGATTTTTAGTCTTTCACTACAATGTAGTGTAGGCATCCTGTTTGAGCAATGTTTAGAGCATCCTGTTAAATGCTGTAACTTAGGAACAGCTAAGATACTGCACAGGACCCTCAAGCTCCCAGGTTTCGGGTAGATGACCCGAGTTTGAAAGATAAACCAACCGCAGGGGTGAGAGGAGACATTGTTTTAAATATCTCGTTGTCAAGGTAAAGCTCTAAGATACAATAATATCAGAGGAAAAACCTTTTTTAAAAAAAAAATATATATCAGGAAAAAACAAATGAGGAAAAAATGGGGCAGTTAAAGGGAAAAGCAAAAAATCGTTTTTGTCAAATTTCCTTCAGTTCATAAACAGACATTCGACTTTCACTTTCAGAGTATAAACAGACAGATCTAGTTTCAGTCAGACTGTGAGGACTGCTCATACAAACACTGCTGATTGTTTTCACCTGAATTCATCTCATCATTGTGAATCTGACTTTGTTTATTTGACTGAAAAAGACACTAATTCATGTTTATTAGTTAATCTTGCTTGTAAATGCTCCTTTCTCTGATTCACCGCTTTTTCCATCATTTTTCTGCTCTGTGTGTTTGGAGCGCTCGTTGTGGAAACATGAGTAATGTCACAGCTGCTCACAGACACTGAGGGGTCATTTTTAAACTGTTTTTTTTTTAATGTTCAAGGCATGAAATGACAAAAGGAAAATCTAAGTGAAAAAAGCTACAGTGCTCTTTGAAGGAAACCTTTTAAAAAAGGCCTCTCTTATTGGTAAGGTCCCACAGGGTTAACCTCAGGGACTGTAACATGATCAGTGGAAATTATAATGGAGTTTGTATAATGTTTATTGGAGTCCTCAGAATTTGTGTTCACTGATGTACAAACATAGACGCTCCCACAGACAGAAACACCTTCTTCTCTCTCTTTTTGTTTTTCAGTTTACAGACACCATGGGTGCTCGTCAGTCTGCTGTTCATATTACAAACAAGACCGAGGGCTACACCCTTTGTAACCCCAGGTGACTATACATTTGTTCTTCAGTGTACAGTGGTAGTTTCTAAAGTGGGATCTTTCTAAATTTCTACACATTAAAAATCTAAAAAATCTGAAAAAATATCATATTTTTTCACTTTGTTTTACAAGCTCATCCATATTCACCTTTCACGCAGGTGACTACTGTTGAACTGCACAGCTGATGATCTAAAAATAAGAGAAATGCACATAAAATGAAATATAAGTGACCTAAGCAGCATCACACCCGTGTTTGTGTGCAGTAAACACAGAGAAAACAATCTAACAATGACACACATTTAACACATCAGCACGTGAAGTTAGAGTTGTTTATCTGAACTTACATATTTGTCTGTGAATCAGTTTTTACTGTGACTGAGATATTGCCTGTAGGTCACTATTAACAAACAGAATGAATCAAGTGAGCAGTTTGTCTGTCACAATGTTTTTTTCTCAGCAGCAATAACCCTGTGCCAGTTTCTTACTCTAAAAAATGATCCACCTGACTCATTATGAGGAGTTCAGGTCCTGTTTGAATATGAATATTAATTCATATTTTTTCTTTTTTCTGACTAGCCTGCATCTTCTTAGTGGATGCTGCCAAATTCCTTTGCCAACAAAACTTGAATGTTTTGAATCTGGCAACACTCTGTTCTCTAAGACTGGTGGCACAACGTGTGGATCTGTTGGAGTCTTCACTTACCATCTCTATGATCAATCTAAAAACAGAGCTGATAAGAAAATAGCCGTTATGTTCTCTGTTCCTTTTGACTACGCCCGGTACTCTAACTGGTTCGCAGTCGGAGTCTTTGACAAGGAAATAAAGTGTGATGGGGATCTTTTTCATAAGATGTATTACAGTAAAGAGAGAGGTTTTGTCAGAGGAAAGGCTGATGGTCATGATCTGAAACACACAGCTGATGATGTTGTCATTACATTGGGCATGACAAACTCCAGTGTTGCAACACTGAAAATTGACGTACACAACAGGGAATAAAGTAATTGTGCAAATGAGAGATCTGATTGTTTGTAGGGCAAATAATGAGAAATGGCTTAATCACCTCTCATTACATGGCCTGTATTTGTAGAGCGCTTTACTCGTCCCTAAGGACCCCAAAGTGCTTTACACATCCAGTCATCCACCCATTCACACACACATTCACCTCTCATTAGTATTTATCTGGATTTATTTACCCTAACACTGATGATCGGGATAAACAGTTATCAACTTGCTAAGTTAACCCAGGGTTTCCACCTCTTCCACAGAAAATGATCCTATTAACATCCTCACCAGAGATGTTAGCAAATGGTGATGAAAAATCTAAAAAGACTATAAAAGACATGCCAGTAAAATCTAACGCTGTTATAGGACATGTGAAAAGGACATGTGATTAATATGCAGTTTGATAATAGATAGATGGTAGCAGATAATATGCATTTGAGATTGTGAATCAGCATTGCAGTCCAGAAAAAACAGGGTTGACGCTGAAGTTACCTTAATAAGCCAAAATCCTCTATTTTTTAAACTACTAAGGTTTTAACTCCAAAGTTTTACATCCAATCATTAAAGATCAGGTAACTCAAATGGAAACTCGCCACCAAATGTTTTAGAAAATCATCACTAAACTGTGAGGAAGTAATGGAAAATTTTAGGGATTTCATATTCTGTTAATGGTTCTGCTGGAAATACTTTCTGAAAAATACTGATTTTATGTTTCCTGTGCATAAATGTAAACTTGTGATTCTTTATTTTTTCATGCCCTGAACATGAAAAAAATAAATAAATCAGACTTTACTAACACTGTCCTTTGTGCTTCATTCACTGACATTGATTCCACTTAAAGGATTTTGTTTCAGTTTGTGAAAAATGTGTAATTCTTTAAATAATATAATATAAATCTAGTTTCGACACACATGTTCACAGTACTGATCTGTGGAAAGAGCAGGAAAATCCTTTTGGACCACTTTTTTTTAAAATTATAGAACAATGGATTTTAAAACAAACAACTGAGACATTCAGATTATGCACATTGTTGTGCATAATGCTAATCTCAATGTTGAGTGCTACCATTTTGCCTTATTAGTGAGCTGACAGAAAATCAATTCTTTAACAAATATCTTACTAAAATGGGAACCAGCACATATGTGTAAATTGGGACTTCATGTGACTTCTCACATAAATTTAAAATGAAGCTTGTAGTGATGGTAATTTCTATTCTTTTTACTGAATCGAGTCTTTGAATGAGTCACTCACTAAAATGAATCAAGTTTTTTGAGTCATTTGAGTCACTGAATCGGTTGCCCAGAGAGTTCAAGAAATTTACATTTTCACTCAAACTTAGTTTATTTCTCTTTTCATGTAAATCCTACTGCTAAGATTAGTGATTGAAAAAAAACCAACTATTTTATAGGGGAATTTCTAAAGGGAACATTTATTTTATTTTATTTTATTTTATTAGTATTTTCCTTAAATGTGTCAAATATACGGTGGCCCTGAGAGGCCAAACGGACTGCAACTTCAGAAAACACTTGCAAAAAGAAAAACGCTGCAAAAAGAAAAACGCTACAAAAGCACACACAACACAACGGAAATGTTTCTGGGGAGACACGAACCAAAACATGCTAACAAGTGCATTGGGACTGGGAGACACTTCAAAGAAGTGGAGCGGCCAAAGAGTAAACTTTCAAAAGTAAGTTCTGAATATTATGTCACTTATTTATGTGCAAATGTTTAATAATGAAGAACATTAAAACATTACTGTTGGCCACATGTCGGCAAAGTTATGTGACATTAGTGATGTTAGTACTTTCAGCGTTAACTTGGTTTTAAAGCCTTTAAAATATACGCCGTTCAATAGGCGACCTTAATCTGACAGAGAATGTGATGATTTTGTGGATAATTAAAGTCAGTCATATATCCACAAACACAACAAGCTGAAAGTCAGTGATGCTGCTCGGTTTGCAGTCCTGAACATCACGGCACAAGCAGGATCCACTGCACTGTTAATGTTAGCTGTGTTATATTGCTGCCTCTGTTCGGTGGTGTCGAGCCAAACGCACTTTAACGTGTGTTTGAACGAGCTGACGGTTCACTCGTTAAGCTGAAAGAAAGATGCTTTAATCACAGCAGTCACACATGTGTCCACTGCACCATCTGGAACTCTTCTTGTTTACACTCGTAATAACACAAACACTAAATCCTGCTTCTCTGCTGCTGTTGTGTAGCAGTGTGTACACCTGAGACTGTCACCTGTCTGTCTGTCCTGCACTCTCTCTCTGTTTCTTTCTCTCTGATTGTGGAATAAAAGTATGAACATGTGTTTATAAGTTACACTTGTGTTTGAATCCTGCAGCTTATCACACATTTGATTTCCATGTGTGACGACTGCAAGTGTCCAGAGTGAGGACAGACTGAGGGAGCCACTGCTGCACATCATCTGTGAGGCTTTGCAGCCCTGATGATCCACCAGGACAAACTCAGCAGTGTGTGAGGAAGAGGTGGAGGAAGAGCCAGCAGCAGCTGACAGATGGAGAGAGTAGACAGACTGTTCCCTGTTTGTGAAGGACGGCTAGGAAAGTTTAGAATAACTAACTGTTAACTAACGCCGCTCTAGTGAGCCATGGTTTAAGTCATGTCTCAACAGGAGGGATGACCTTTATAATAACCCAACAATTTTATGCTATAAATTTTGAAACTTCAGCAAAAGAATATGTGAGAACATGTATGACCTGCCAAAAACATAATACCCAAGGTAATTTAAGACCAAAAAGAGGACATTTTCCTACACCACCTCATCCATTTCATACAATCCACATGGATTTTATTGAATTGAATAAGTGTCAGGGTTCAAAATGTGCTCTAGTAATTATAGATGTATTCTCAAAATGGCCGGAAATATACCCAGTGAAAAAAGCAGACGCAATCTCAGTTGCAAAGTGTCTATGCAATCATTTCATTCCAACATATGGAATTCCTACTCTGATAAGATCAGATAATGGAACCCATTTTGTAAATGATGTGATCAGTAAAGCGTCTGAAGTGTTAGGTTTCAGTTTGAAACATCATTGTGCCTACCATCCACAGCGTGCAGGATTAGTGGAGAGAACGAATGGCACTATAAAACAAAGGCTCAGGAAAATAATGGAAGAAACTGGCAGACCATGGCCAGAATGTTTGGGCCTGGTCAAGATGTGGATGAGAATAACACAAGGAAGCAACAAGCTGTCCCCATTTGAGATTATACATGGGAGACCTTTTCCGCTACCAGTTACTAGCGAGCCACTAGATAAATCGATTCGTGAAACCACTCTGGCAGATTGGATGACGGATGATGTGCTGGTTTTCTTGGCTTTACACTGGCTCCTGGTTACAGGTGCTAAAAAGGCTACTCATTGGAGTTGGGATATTCTTACTTTTATTTTGTGTCTTTATAACGTTTATATTGCCATGTCTAAAACTCATGATTAACCGCATAATATTTTCCACTGTTGCTGCATATACAGCCGTGACAAATGATGATGATGACTCTGACCTGTTGGAACATGAAGACTTTGTGTGATTAATGACGATGTGACAGAAAATGTACGACAAGATGTTACAAACTGATATTTCACTTAAAAGTTTTTCTGACAACAGGAGGGAGTGTCAATAGGAAATTGTATTTAGACGTCAGTATAATCTTTTAATAATATAAGTTTGTATATGGTAGAATACTGCATGTAATCATTAGTGTCTAGTTGGTGACATAGTGAAAGAATGTCTAATCCTTGTTTTATTGTTTTAACATAGCTATGTCTGTTTTAGTCTAAGTGCCTTTTTGTCTAGATGAACTGCTGGACTTCTTCACTGTGTTATCTAGGGTGAACCATCTAGGGTGAGGGGGAGATTACCCTCTTCCTGACCAAGGATGTTTCCTTTTGTGCTTTCATGTTATATGACCCTTTGATCAGCAACACACACACACACACACACACACACACGTACACCTCCACATTCCAATGTAAAGAACAAACGCTCACTGAAGTATAAATAAAGACCGGCGCAGTTTCTTAGTGCGAGTCTCAGTTCTGGAGACTGCCCTTGCTAGCAAGAAGTTCTGTGTGTTTCTCTTCTCTGAGTCTTTACTGAAGAAGTGATTTAGAGTATTTTTCTTAACAAGGAGGAAGAGCCAGCAGCAGCTGACAGATGGAGAGAATAGACAGACTGTTCCCTGTTTGTGAAGGACTGCTAGGAAAGTTTAACATAACTGTCTGTGCTGAATCAGTCTTATTAGGTAATGTTCAAATAATGTGATCATCCCAGTGTTTTCAGTGTGGGAGAAAGTACTCAGGGCCTTCAAGTTACACACTATGAAAGGCAGCAACAAGTTTAACGTTCAGAAACCTAAAGTCTGTATCAGCAGCAGAATGGAGCTAAAAATAAATGTTGGTTTCAGTTCTATGAAGCTTTGAGTATTTTGGATCAGTAGCTGCTGTGTTTGTTGCATCATATTGCTGTAACTGTTTATATGCTTTATATATTCTGAGCTAAGTTGATCTATAGTGTTACATCATATTCTATAAGGATGTTATGTGTTTGTAGACTTTCTGCCCAGTTTGACCCATTTAGCAGAAGTCAGCCTGTTTA